TTCTATGGATACTTTTCCAGAAGATTTCTCAGGATCTTTTCTTCTAGCCTGATCTCCAATTCTTCCTAATTGAGATTTTTCTCCCATTGACTCGGAAGAAGCTCATCCGAGCTGGCCAGGGGCAGCTGTGTCTTTGTTGGGCCTGGGTTCCCCCATTGCACAGTCTTTGCTCTTTTAAGCAGGGATGGTTTCTCATCTGCAAGCCTGAGATTCTAACCCCATCCTGTGTACTTAGCTTATTATACCACTGGATAAAGTTTCAAAATCGTCTTTTTGTACTAGAATGACTACATTTTTCAAATCACTAGTTTCTTCCATTTTGGTAATTTGAAAGTGTGGCAAAGTCATGTGATCTTGGTTTACAACGTTGATTTGATAGTCTAAAGTAGCACCAATACTACAAACAAGTATTTTGATGGTCTCTAAAAAGACTCAGCTACCCCAGACAGTAGGTGGTTGTTGGAGAGGCCTTCATTCTGGTCAGCCATAAAGTACAAGAGAATCRTGAGACCTTCTGATTTTTAGGCTGCTCCTCATGAGAAACAAAAGTACCTAATAAAGTGGTTTGAAAGAAGATCCTGCCAACATCCATGAACATTTCAGCTTAGAGCCTATTTTTTTTTTTTTTGCCAAAGTTAAATGGGTTATTAATTCAGTTCAGAACTTAATATGGGAATTATAGACAGCTTCACTTTTCTTTTTCTTTTTAACATAATGGACAAAATAAGTCTTCTTTTGAAAAGGGCAATTTACTCATACTTCATAGGCAGGATTGATCTTGTGATTAAGAAAAGAGTGCTTTCCACCTGCATATGACTCTTTACTTCCTCAAAGCATTTTTACATTTTTTACTTCCATTTAATATTGTTCCACCATAGGAGAGGGTAATGGGATCCCAGTCTCCATTTATTTTTTATTTTTCATTAATTTTCTGAGTAGCAGAATGAGGATTAAAATTGCTTCTTACAGACCAACAGACATGCTACCCTATCCATGTACACAATCTGCCCTAGTTGGTGATACATGTCCCATGCAGCAGCTGATGGTAATTCTTTATTTTTTTTTTTCCTACTGAGCTGATGGTAATTCTGTTGACACAAATCACCAATAGGGAGCAAATCTGCCTTAATGAAAATACTCATTGATAGCTTTGTCCCTACCCCATGGRTTAATTTTTCTTTGTGCAGTTGGGTCTGATAACAGGCCCCGGATGATCCTAATGCACAGTCAAGGTTGAGAAACACAGATTCCCAGAGATTTTTTTTTTTTTTTACATGTATACTCTTGTTAGAATTTTTAACAGGGAGCAGTCAGCCACATGAGCTTTAAATGAGATTCCTGTACCTGAAATTTCCGTATCACTTGTGTCCTCTTTCCTATCCTCAAAAATGAAGGCTTCCATGAAATGATTATGGGGCCACTTGTGTGCCGAGGTAACCAGCTGCAGTTTAGCTCTTCTCTAATGCCCATAAAAATGAATAATGCATGCTCTAAAATATTGGTAATAAAAGGCAAAAACATAGAATACAAACTCAATGGTCTGAATCAATGGATTATTCTGTAGAYGGCTATATTGAAAAACTGAAAGAAAGTACTTTTCAAAGCATAAATATTTTAATCACTCTCCAATTCTACTTCTCTTACATAAATTAAAAAAAAAAAAAAAAAAACATCCCATCTGCTACTTCCAAAGCCTGGAAGAGCAGAAGACAGCTGCTTTTCCAAACATTCTTTTCTAGCTGCAGCATTAACCATGCATCAGATATCTGCAAATTGATGTCCCAGGCAAAGCGGTTGCAGGAGCTGTTCCTGCCCTGGACAGACTCGTATAGTTTGCTGGATAAATTAAAATTTTGAGTTGCAGGGGACTGCTTCTCCACTGAGGAACCCAGGAAGGCAGATGAGTGAGCCCTTCTCACAGAGCCCTGGATCTCAGAGTTGACAATGCATCTGCCTTTCATACTCTGTTCAAAGTGGCAAGAGCCTGAGATGGTGTCCAAGAAAGTTCAAAAGAAATTGTTTCATGTTGGATCTTTTAAGATATTTCTGAATTCAAATTTGGACAGTCTTAGGGAACAAGAAAAACATTAAATCGACCAGTAACTCCAAGTCCCTATTTGTTCCTAAATTCAATCTCCTCTGCTACCAAGTTAATAACAAAAAGAAAAGTGAACTGATTTYAATTTCAGCACCTCTCTCCTCTTCAATTTATTATGGAGTAAAGCAGAACAGTGGCTGATAGGCAGGTGGAAGGAAAAAAAATTAGAAAGACAAACTWTAAACTGAACTAGTGACTCTTACACAGGGCCCTTCTTTGTTAAAAAGGCTAGTGGAGGCAGAACAGGGACATAAAAGAAAAGGGACATAAATATATTTGGATTTGAGTAGCCACTGGCAGAACACCATAAGTGAGATTATATCTGCCCACAAAAAGAAAAACAAAAGGCTTGTCTCGTCCAAATTTCATTAATTTAAATTGATATACATACCTAAAAATCAAATATAGCTACTAATAAAATGTATGCTGTGATGGACAGAATAATGGTCCCAAGGATGCCCTGTTCCAACTCCCAGAACCTGTGAATATGTTACCTTATATGGCATAGGGGAATTAAATTGCAGGTGGAATTTAGTTTGTTATCTGCTGATCTTAAGACAAAGAGATGATSCCAGATTATCTAAATTCAATGTAATCACAAGGGTCCTTAAAAGTGGATGGCCAAGGCTGAAGAGGGACCACAGTGATGGACCATCTGAAAGGCTGGACCTGCAGCTTCTGGCTTTGAAGATGGAGAAACAGGGCACAGCCTGAGGAAGGAAGGCAGCCTCTAGAAGATGGGAAAAGTCTAGCTTCCCCCTGAGAGCTTCCAGAAAGAAACACAGTTCTGCTGACACCTTAATTTTAGCCCAGCAAAACGCATATTTGGCTTCTGAACTATAGAATTGTGAGATAATATATTTGTATTGTCTAAGCTGCTAAATTTAAATTTGTGGTAATTTGTTACAGCAACAATAGAAAATGAAACATATGTGATAACTATGCATATAATGGTTGCACTTTTCTGGTCACAAAAGTAACCAGGAAGACAAAGCAAAAAAAAAAAAATTAATGTAGAAAATTAAATTCCCTTGTCTTTCCTATCTCTGACCCTTCTTTGATATCCACTCTTGACTGACACCAAGACACGGGCTGGCTGGTGGGGTCTCCTTGCCCTGGAGAAGCACATGTCCTCACACATAAGGCTSAGGACTAGAAGTATTTCACAACCCAGCCCTTGCGGAGAGGAACTTATCCAGGACAACGTGGCTGTAGCCACTTTCAAAGACTATTAATTTATATCTCCTCCTTTTTTTTTTTTTTTTGGCTTGATTGGATGAAGACTATCCTGTAGACGATTTGCACCGAATTGCAGAGTCTCCCATAATCAACTTAAGTACACTGAAGAGGTTCAGTTATAATCACAGGGGAACTAATGGGCTTCTTTCCTTCCCTGTGCTCCTTGAGTCATGCCTGTCCTCTGGCATAGCTGCTTAGGCACATGGAAGCTCTGGACTGCAGTGTGCTCCATAAAGGAACATCACTAAGGCCTAATTCAGTGAAATCRATAGGTGGCCTGAGGTGCAAAGGAAAGACGGCAGACACGACTGAGACAGAATGGTGTACATCCATAAAGGCAGATGATGAGATCCCTATGTTGAGGGAGACAGGTTAGAACCTAAGGATAGAGTCCTTTTCCTGATTTTTTGCCTGCAACCAGTGTTAATTCAAGATGCCACCCACCAGAAATGCAGCAGAAAGGAAGGRTGAGACAGAAATTCAGAGATAAGGAGACAGGGAGGCAAAGACTAACAAGATCATTAAGTGCCATTGGAATTCAGATAGGTTATGCTTCAAGCCACAGCCCRCAAAGGCCCTAGGGTGTGAGTATGAGACCAGATTCTTAGACTCTTAGGTTATATTCATAGTAACTGGGTGAATGGGCTTGCGTGCGGGGAGCCAACCATACCAGAGCCATTTATAAGAGCATATCTAAGGCATTGAAGGCCAACATATGTCTGATCCAGTCCTAAAAACAGTTATTAGACATAGTATTATCATTCCTAGGGCTTTTATTGAAGGATATAGAGTTTATTTATCTCTAAAAGCATGGACTTTGCTTCTGTTTCCTTTAGGTTGGTCAACACCTCTCTCTCTTTACTTGACATTCACATATGGATGGATATGGGAAAGTTGCGCTCTTGTGTGAAATCATACCACAGAAAAACCAAACGACAGCACAGTGCAAAGGATTCAATGCTTATAAACCAAGAATGCTCCACAAAAACCTATACAATTCCCTGAAAATACCTTTCCTTTAATAAAAATTCTTTTTTTTAAAGAGAGAGAGAGAGAGAGAGAGAGAGAGAGAGAGAGAGAGAGAATTTTTAATATTTATTTTTCAGTTTTCGGTGGACACAACATCTTTGTTTGTATGTGGTGCTGAGGATCGAACCCGGGCCGCACGCAAGCCAGGCGAGAGCGCTACCGCTTGAGCCACATCCCCAGCCCATAATAAAAATTCTTTTTAACAAAGCACAGGGCAGATGATCTCAACACCTCCATAATCCACAAAGAGACAAATGGCTAAGACAAGGCTGTCTTCCTGGTCCGACTGGCTCTGTGCTTGTCTACTCGACAGGTGGAGGAAGRGCACCCTCCCCATTAATCTTATAGTATTGACAAGACATCCCAAACTAAAGCCACAAAGTGATAAGTTCACCTTGACAAAGTTGAAAAGAAAGGGTCTCTACCAGGGGACTCTGACTTGGACAAAAGGGACAAATCTGCTTATACCCAGAGGTTGCTTTCATTATTGCAGCAACCCAAAGCTGCAGTCTTCTTCTTTCTCTTGCCTTGCCCACCACCTTCTCCAGACAGCTGAGAGACCATATTATAGGTTGAGGATGATGCCCCTCTAACAAGATGGGGAGCCCCTTCTTCTGCCCAAGACCCACTTTACCTTGTTGAAGTCTTCAGAAGTTGCCCTCATTTCCTTCCATGTCTTATTCAGGAGCTGGATACAGATGCAGAAAAACTCCTCAAAGGATCTGTCGTGGGTGAAGAACATCGGGTGGAAGTCATTGCAGGTCTCACTAGCTAGAGGAAGGAGATGGGAAATGAGGAAGTTTTAGAACAGTGAAACAACCAAAGGCAGGTTCCCCAAAGAGAGACAAGGACAGCATCTTTACTTAAGCGGCCATGGACAAAAGGGATTTTAAAAAGGCAATCAAAGGCTAGCCCTCATAAAACAAAGAAGTTTAAGGTCAGATTGGCAGACCTATACTTCAGCATATATTTTTTTCTAAAGAACGTCAGCTCCAGGACACAGACCTTATGGCTTTGTTTCAAGACCATGTTGAATATGAGCCCTGTATGTGCCTTTTTGACCTTATAGAGATTATTTCAGTTGCCCCCTTGGGCATAGTGCCTCCATCACCCTTAATTTCCCCTTTCTTAACAGAATGACTGGCAGAAGATGGGCTTTCTTGAATACACAAATTAATTCCAACTTTGGAAATAGCATCCGTGATTGTGTCTCCAGGGGGCTCTTTTTCCTCTTATGGCAGTGAGGAGGGGACATTTGTGATCATTAACCATCTGATGCCATTAACCATTTGTTTTACATTCCCAGGCACAGATGGCTGGAGGTCAGAGCAAACAAAATGGCTGTGAAGGCTGTATTGGGTCMAGCCTTGCAATCAGTCAAAATTGCATATGAGCCCACCCTGGTAAGCTTTTTCAGGTCAGATTCAGTGCCCTGGGCTCTAGGTCTGGCCACCTCTCACCTCTTCCTCCTCCTCCTCCTCCTCAAACCAGGGCCCAAGCCCCTCCCTGGATCTGTGTCACCTGCCAAACTTATACTTTCATACCCCTTTTATGCATATGACACCTCATTTGGTCTTTGTAAAGTCCCTTACTACTCACAAGAACATTGCAGAGCTCAAGGAACTAGGCTTTGTGATCCAACCCACCCCAAACAAATATATATGCTGTTACATATAGTGTAAGTGTTTTTGTTTTATTTGGAATCTCTAAAGACCAATTAGTCCTCAAGGCCCAGGATGGTGAAATTTCAGGCATTGGAAGTCCAAGAGAGAAGGGGGAAGGGTCGAAGTGGAGTGAAGAGAAGAGACTTTCGGTTGGGGAGAGCCCTGGTGCCTACCATGTGGATGCACAGCAGCTCCACTCAYAGAGAAGACTCTGGTACAGGCCCCCGGAAGCTGGATGAACCCTGACCAGATCTAAGGGGAACACGCTATGCTCTGGCACAGCTAAAGTTGTTGCATACCCAAATCGCCTCTCTTCAAACTTTCTGAATATAGTGGATTCCAGAACTCTGAACATCCTCAAACAGTCACAAATGGATATGTGTTTGTACAGCTCACCCTGAAAGGCACAACCAGATCTGAATACAAGRCAATGCTATTTTGTCCCAGACAGCTAAGGGCAAAGGTCAACTGCTATATGCAGTCATGGAGAAAGGGTTTGAGCACACAAGATTTAGGTTCATAAGTTCTGTCCATGCCAATCAGAAGCGAAACCCTTTTCCTTTCTGGGTCTGGATTTTCCTAACTAGAAAATAGAAATGAAATCTCCTGTGCATTTTCCCTAGGCTTTTTCAAGGATCAAATGACACCATTCATGGGAAAGAGCTTTAGAGAGGATAAAAGTTAACACAGATACACCGGGAGGTGGGGACAATGACATGAACCCTATATCAGCACAGTAGTTTCAGGATCATGGGTGACTGTATGACATTTCCCCTAATTCCTAGTCAAGTGTGTTCATATCTCAGCAATTAGAAGCAAGAACACACAAGTCACCCTCTCCCCCAGCCTGGTTTACTGGCAGTGAGACACTGGCAAATGTGAAGTTTTGACCTGAGACACAAAGCTATTTAGGGAACTTGGAACATCAACACAGGCAAATTGTGGTGTTTGCTGCCCTGGGCAATGAGCTGTCAGTCTCACTTTCATAAGCACTGAAGCCAATGAAATTTACAAGTCTACAGAAGCACCTTAAAACACTATTACCGTCCGAGAACTCGTTATTAATCACATTATCACAGAATCATTTTGGGGCCAAGTGTGATTATGTGTGTACTTTATGCCCCAGATAAAATGTTTATGGGATTACTGGAGCTGAGATTGCCAGGCGAAACTGAGACCCACAAGCCCCATTCTTGCTTGGGTGAAGAGGGAGGAAGTAACCTCATTAATAACAGGCGTGTTAGCTGGCTGCACATTAGGTGCCAGGGCTCCTCCAGGCACTATCTCAACCATCCCTGGAAGGCAGGCATCATGGCATCCTCACTTTATATATAAGGAAGGTGAAACTTGGAGAAATAAAACCATCCATCATGAGCTTCTTTTAGGTGGCCCCAAGTGCAAGCTAGAAACCCACAATTTAGCTGACCCAGCAGCAGCCTTCCTGCTTTCATTGACATCAAGAGCCCCAGGCATTTCTTTGTGGTGGCTGCTTTGAAAATTAATTTCTCCACCCACTCTCCTGGATCTCCTGTCATCTCTTTCAACAGAAACCCAGATTGTGACCTGCAGTCCAATGGGGCTCCCAGCAAGTGCAAAGCCAGYGCCTGCTGATTGAGGACACCTGGCCCTGTGATAACAGTACCAACGCCAACAACACCACTGCCTGTGACCACAGGCCAGGTGCTGGATGGCAGATTCTATGTAAATTATGGTCATTTATTGCAACAAGCACTCAAGAGAGAGCTGTTATTAATCTTCCTTTTTTTAAATGTTAGAAATAGGATATTTAAGCAGGGGAGGCTCAAGGTTGCATGGATTACAAACCATAAAAGCAGGAYTGCAACTTGGATCCACTTGGCTCCAAAACCCATCATCGTTGTGGTGTTCCCCTGTTTCCTCATTCTGTTTCTCAGTGAACTCTGTCTCTATTAGACATCAGGATAAAGTATTAAGTACTGATGTCTTTCCTCCAAAACTATCAAAATGCAGATATTTAAGATTGAAGGGCATTTTKCAGGAAGGGACTGTTCAGATAACCTGATCCATTTGTAGGTAAGCATTGTCAGAAAAGGCAAAATCACTCACTCAGGAGATGATCGTGGTAGCTAGGGCACAAGGATGCCAGAAGCTAGACTACTGAGGCTCGAGTTCTGRCTTTACTACCCCCAAATGAGTTGCCTAGGCAAGTAATTTCACCTCTCTGTGCCTCAGTTCTCATCTGAAAACTGGGGACAGCAATAACATGTGTTTTATAAGGTTGCTGTGAGGATGGGAGGAGTAACTGTCTTTATGGCTTAATGCTTTGAACTATGAGGATCATTCGGTGCAACATTTATCAACTGAACTCTGTCCCAGCCTACCCATTTATAAATGTGAACTCATGTTGGATTACAGGGACATACTGTGTCTTAAGAACAGTGTCCTTCATTTGAGGGTTTAAAAAATACACAAGTAAAACGAGGAAGGTAAGATTTATTGTGCTTTTAATAGAAAACAACACTTATTGAGAAAAAGAAAAGAATTAGCAAGCAATGATTTTATAAATGAAATTTAGAGAGAAGCTTTCAATGAGACAAAAATAGTAAGACTTTTAAAAATCAAATTGTTTTTAAGCACACTATTTTTAACACAATGAGATTCTGCTTTATAAAAAAAGAATCAACTCACTGATCTTTTAAGTCTGGAATATAAAGATATTTTCAGAGTTCAGTGTAGAATGGATTCTATTAATTTGCTGACATCTAATTTATTTAGAAGTAGGCCAGCTTTGAAAGCAACTATAACCTACACTATAGGTTTAAAAAATAAAAACAAGAATGCAGTACATTTATGTAGCATTTTGTTGTTGTATTAGTCCATTTTCTATTTCTATAACAAAATGCCTGAGGCGGGGTTCTTTGTAAAGAAAAAGAGGCCTATTTAGCTCACAGTTTTGAACGTCCAAGACCTTGGAACCTGAATCTGCTGGCTCAGATGAAGGCCTTTTGGCTACATCACAACATGGCAGATGGAATAACTGTGGGAGTGTGTGCTAGAGGGATAGATCACATGGTAAGAAAGAAAGCCAGAGAGATTTGGGGACCAGCTTTGCTCTTTTATAAAAATTCATAAGGGAATGAACTCCCTTCAAGACACGAGCATTAAATCTTTCCAAGGGCATGTCTCTAATGACCTAACTAGCTTCTGCTAGGTTCCACCTTTTAAAGGTCCCGGCATTTCTTAATACAACTGGGAACCAAGCCTCCAACACAAGAACGCTTGGGTTACAAACCACACCCTAATCATAGCACTTGTCAAAGCAGGTTCATTCCTCTTCCAAAGGATAATATGAAGTGAAACAGGTATTGTTATGAGAGACTCAGAAGACAGGGATGCTGCAGAGTARCAGCTAAATATGAAAAGAGGAGTATGAAGAATGGGATCAGGAGTTGCCCTGCAACTTTGAGAAGTTCATTTCAGCTCTCTGGGCTCTGGGTGTCTTAGCTATAAATGAGGTAGAGCAGTGGATTTCTAAGGTTCCTGCCAAGTCTAAAATCCCATCTGTCTGTACACACACACACACACACACACACACACACACACACAGACCAGATCATGTATTTTTAATACTCTAGCGTCCATCAAACTTAATAGAATTTGGAGACTGTGCCTGCACTGAACTTTAGTCGCTTAACTATGATTTCCTTTATTGACAGAACGGCTACACATTTCACTTCGGGTGTTAAGGCAGCAGAGTGGTATTTGATAGGCTTAGCAAATGTTGATGAGCTAGTATTTACTCTTCATAAGAAAATTGTTACTTGGTTTTATACCCTTTCAACCTATTCATACCACGAAATGTAGACCATTACATAAGAAAATTACTTGATTAARGATAGAATGACAAAATGACACAGGCAAATACAGACCCTTTTAGTTCTTTCATGAGAATTTTCTAAGACACGTATAATTTTCTAGATGCTGAAAAGCTTTCTATGACCCCTGTTATGCTAAAAGAGACATTGAACCCATTTTGAAATGACTAGTAGGATACAGATTTAGGAGGCTCTGGGAAAATTAGAATATTTTTACCACAGCATTATAAGCTATTTTGCTAGCAATGGTCTT